TCTTTCTTCTATACATTTTAGTATTTCACACGTAAAACATGAATAGTTTCCGGTTGTTTAATTTATTGTATATAAACATGTATATAAGAAGTATATACTTACTCTTTATAAGAACATTTTGTCTTAATCCTTAACAAGAAATAATACTCTACATAAATAATATCCAAACCATTAAGTCAATAAACCTAGTAGGATTTTTCCTATAACTAACTCCTAAAAATAATACGATAATGAGTGAGTTAACTATCAACATCAGGTATGATAGTTTAATTTTGTATCAGGTTGAAAATCAGTTACAAGTACATGAAATAAGTAGATTTAGGTTAACTTTGTTATAAAGATATAACCGGTAAAATAGAATAAATCTACATGTTATTTAGAAAAACATTTAATAAAAGCATTAAACAAAATACCGCGATTATATTCTCTAGTCAGTGAAAATGATTGACAGTACTTGTAAACTACTAAGAGCTAATTATTTGAATAGGTCAATAAATTATAACACTTTAGAAAAAAAATATATTGAAAGTTTAATTGAAAGGTATCAAACAGTACCATTCGTCCTAATACTATGTTATTTGACCTATTTTTGTACCGTGTATGTTCCTTTCTTCATGTGATCGGTTCAACATTATATCCTGCAGAGTTAAGGTCATTCATACAAAACTAGTTTACTACATAGCATTCCTTTAGATTCAACTAATTTGTTTCAATTCCTTTTTTTTATCGAAAGCCATTCAGTCCAAAAATGATTATTAAAGAAACTTTATCAAAAAAAAATGTCTGTACACAGTTTAGTTAGTACAGACTAACACTAACAAGTGGCCTTTTTTGCTTTAAGTTACATTCACCTTTTAACTTATTTACCTGGTATTAAGGTCAGAGAAATCTCTTTAGAGTAAACCCATGATAGGCGCTAGATGGATTATGAAGCATTTTGTGACTTGCTAACAATAATGTCTAATGAACACGATCGTTAAATTATACTGAAATCATTATCATTATAATGTTAAAGCCATACCGGTAAAAGGTAAGTACAGGTTGTCGAAACTTGATGTTTTTGTTTAATATTTTTTAAAAGTCATCCCGTTGACTTTCAAAAATCTCTTAATATGTATTCATACCATTTAACAATTGATAAAATCTCACTCCGTCATGTGAAGTCTCGTGTATTAAACGTAGTCAAGCTAAGATATTAGAAATTATATTGTTTGTTATACTTCAGTGTAATACTAATGAGAAATCTTACACTAATTCTCTGTCCTAGTTTTATCATGAAATACTTCCAGTGTTTTTTTTCGAATTGGCTAGTGAATAAAGAAAGCAAATATCTCAGTCAAATATTGAGTAGTTACTGATTTTCAGAGTTTAAAAAAACAGCAATGTTGTTATAGGAAAATGGATTTACAAAAATAGAAACTGGTTACATAAGGCGTAATTCTAAAGCTGTATCATCGAATCAACTTAAAGATTATTCATATCTTAGTTCAATACTAAGCTAATACATATGAATTAAACAATATTCAATAAAAGATTATCAGATGATATATTCCTGTTTATCGATTGTTGTTTAATTGAAATATCGTATATCATCTTCAGCAAATAATATTTTAATAGTTGAATTCATGAGTCGATTAAAGTTAAACCACTGTGAAAAAGCTGGAACCAATGGATGTACATTTCATCTTAGTACAGGACCCCTTAGCAGTGTACATCCACAATCGAGAATGAGGGACTTGAATTCAAGATCTTTGGTCTCTCACATGAACACTTAAATTCTGGACCACTGACTTGGCCAGTATCCAACGGTGTTATTGTTTAACTTCAACCAATCCACGAATTATTTTTCTACATTATATTATTCATTCAGTTCAAGCTTGAAATAAAGTTTCGTAAAGAATCGTAATGTAGTTGTTAAATGTCCTTACTGTAGTGAAGAGAATACGGGTGAGGAAAATCGAATGTATTTAAAACAAAATTACATGACTTGTTAATAAAATCTAACAATCATCAAGTAAATGCTTAATTTGCGAAATGTTCATCAATTGTCTCATAATAACTCAGACTTCATTGTTCTTGCATTTTCATACAAATTGCATTCTGTTTCCATTCTTTATTGTTCGATCCTCTTGTTTCTCTGCTGTCAGATCTTCTGTTCACGACTAACATCATATACTACTCAAGTCAATATAAGTAGCACACATCACTCTACTATTAGATACTTGATTTCATCACTAACTATTCTTTCTAATTAGTAATGTATGTATTTGAGTACTTGGATATTTTTTAAAAATTTATTTAACTGAATAATACTATTTACTTGATCTAACTTACACAATGTTTGTTTACCCTTTATTTTTGATGATGTTCATCTAACCAGTCTTTTTTGTTTGTTTGTTATATTTATACTTACGTGTCACAACAAGTTAAGTTAGATATTTGGATAAAATGTTTTTCTTACTTTTTTTTTAAAAATAATTTAGAATATTTCTTCTTTATATTTTTATATCAATAAATTTAAGATTGATAATCTCATTACAAAACAATTTGCTTTTATGAATGATTGATTCTAATCTCTATCAATCTAATTCATATTCAACTATGAATTGAATATAAACAGAAGTTTACGTGTTTTCAAATCAGTCATCTATAAGAAATGTCATTTAAAAAAAAAATTAATATATTAAAACAAATGTATAAAGTTATTAGCTTAATTATATTATATCGTTGAAGTCTTTTCACCATCATGAAACTATGATAAATTAAATAACATACAAAACAAAACAAAAAAACTTGTTTGATTTAAAGTGAATTATGATTCATACCATTTATTGTTCGAATCTGTATCCACTAGTTTAACCTTAAACAATTATAGTTTTAAGTATTTTGATTTCAAACTTAATCAAGTTAACGTGGTTCAAAATAAAATTTTTGGCGAGACTCTAATTTATGAACGACCTTTGAACGAATCTTGAGTGACCTTGAGAAATATTAGCCAATCAGCAAACAGTCAGTATAAAGTAAAAATATATTATAAAAAAACAAGGAAATAAAGTGGATACACTTCTTATACGTGGTTCAAAAACTTGTCAAGGTTAAAAAGAGGTTCAGAGGTTCTAAAATCGTACTGCATGCAGTAGAGGAAATCCTCCATACGGTCACGGGATAGTCGGCCTTTGAAGTTATGATGTAATCTCAAAAAGGCTTTCAGGCTGGACCACATAGTTTCAATATTGTTTATGTGCACTTCGGTTGTTGAGTGCACAAAATGCTACTTGTGGACAACGACATGATGAACATAACTATGTGAGAGTCTGTACGCTCTCCAAGCATCCAAATATACTGTAGTACCTGGCTGCAGCCACTGCTAGTGGCGCTTTTATTATCCAGGTCTCAATAATTGTCATAATGTGCCTTAGTTAGGAATTATATATGGGGTTTTCATCACGAACTGACATCAGCTATAATGCAAGAAATTTATTTAGCCGAATGCATGAAAAGCTTTCGAGTTAAACTCCGAGATCTGTTATCTCATACCAGATTGATTCGTCCAAAAATTATAATCTCGCCGTTTTGTTTGTTATAGCCTCTCAATTATCACGTTTTGTACAAAATTCCTTGTGAAACGATCGTACGTTAGCATTAAGCACTGAAGTTGGCGCCGTAATGTTGAAATCTCTAAAACGCCTCTGACTGGCTCGTCCATGAATTAGAGTCTCGAGCAATTTTTTATCCAATTCATTTCAAAGTACTGAATTGATTTCTTTTATTAAAATTGATATTTGACCAATAACGTGAAATTATTGTCCATTAGAGTGGTTGTATATCTACTTCAATTCGTTAAATTACAGAGCAGACAATATGATACTATAGACTTTAATAAACTGTTTAATTTTTTAAATTTTTTTATATCATATGATGAGTAACTAATGTAAATCTCTCATTGTATAAATCAATGACTACAGGAATTCTTATTCCAACGAATAACATTGAATATCTTTATCTAAACAAGTCAGATATATTGAGAAAATTGGCTTTGCTTCTCAATATGAGTATCATCAATTAATACATATTTTATGATTGTTCCAAATGAATTTTAACAAAAGTTTTGATGATAATTCAATAAAATTAAATAAATATTCTGATGAGTTTTTATACTTGACAGAAATGTGTACATAAAGTGTCATATTGATTAAATAGAACCCCAAATTACACCAACCTATTATGGTAACGTAGATCCAATACGACAATGGATGTTTGATTATGTATATTCTGTACACTCATTCATTTGGACAAAGAATCAGAGGTACGAAGCGGAGAGATGAGAGCAAAGCAAAATGATCCACAGTGTTGTGTGAGCCAACTCGATGTAATCAAGCGTTAATCAATATTTATAGCTGAAAAAAAATAAGTTACAGACATGTGATGATTAAGATAAGAAGTGCACACACATACGTTCAAATAAAAATAATCAAGGTTGGTAAGTGAATAATTAACAAAGTTAAAATGTAACTCACAAAAAACGAGTAGATTAGACTGTGAGATGGTGGAGAAGATTTACAGCTCAGGTGGATGATTTTGATAGAGTTTTGTTCTCTAAACTAGATGGTTTGGTTGTGGATCTTCATCGTTCTTCTGAACGATATTATCAACACAAACTTCAGATAGATGATTTCGTTCAAAAGAACAATGAAAGCCCCACGACCAAATCATCTAGTTCAGAGAACAAAACCCCATCAAGATTAAACTGTTCACAAGTTAGAATAAGCTGTATGAACTTAACATAATAACCGACATTATATCTTTTTGCAATAATAATAATAATAAATTATATTAAACTTTTATTTTATTTAATTTCAGATATTGAATTTATCTAACAAGTATGTTATGGAAATATGAAATTTAATAACAATTCAAAAAGATAACTATACCATTATATACCATATTCCCATACAAATTGAATAACTTATCTTATTATTTGTAAATTCTATTCAATTATAATGAATATTACTGAACATATTGATAATATATTTAATCCTTTTATATTAAATTTATTTATTATTAATAAAAGTTTATCATGTACACAAATGGAATCATTACCAGTATCTGGTTTATTTAATTTTTATCGTGCTATTGGTTTATTATTAGGTCCATTAAATACAATATTAAATGGTTTATGCGTTCATATATTTAATCATCATTTATGGAAAAAATCAATAATGAGTAAAATATTAAAAGGATTATCATTTATTGAAATTGGTATGGGATTAAGTTTATTTATTCATGCATTAATATTTTCCCAAAATTCTATATCATCTTATTCTAATGAAATTGTATACAATATAACTAATAATAATAAACATAGAAATGAATTACAACAAGATTTAATATATACAAATGATTATATTAAAACAATATGCTCATTTTTTATTACAACTATATCCAGTAGATTTTTAGTAGCATTTCAAATATCACGTAATTGGTCTGTTGTATTATTAGCTGCATATCGTTATGATCAAATATGTCGACCTATTGGTACATCTAGTATATTTTCACGTCAACGTATACGTTATATAATAATGATTATAATATTTTTAGCATGTTTAATTATTATACCAAGAATATTTGAAAATGGTATAGTTGTATGTTATATAACAGGTAATGTATCAAAAGATTATCCATTATTAATTCATTATAAATTATATCAAATTTTATATTTAGGTTTACTTATGTTTATTATACAATCTGGTGGTCCAGTTATATGTGTATGTGTATTAAGTGCATTTGTAATAAGAATTATAGCAAAACGACGAAAATTTCATCAAGAAAAAGAACAACGTTCAGCTAGAAATTTATTAAGACGTCAAACAATGGAAATAGAATATAATCAATCAAATTTAAAAAACAATCACATTAATAATAATAATAATAATAATTTACAACGTAATTCAAATGGTTTAATAAAAGAATTAATTGAAAGACCAGCTCCATCAGGTGATAAATTAATGTTTACTGTTTGTATAACATTTTTTATATTAGAAACTCCAGCATTTTTTAGTAAAATATTAAATCCTTATTTAGAACAAGATTATCCATTAATTGATTTAATTATATCAGTGATTGCAAATTTATTAATTTATTTAGATTCAACATTAAATGCATTTATTTATATGGCATCAAATCCATTATTTCGTAAAATTGTTCGTAATGAATGTATACAATATCGTAATCGTTTAATTTGTTGTCAATCATCTAAATCTATTCATCAATTAACTAGAATAAATCCTAGTTTAGACAATGAACCAAATGTTATTTCAATAAACTCATAAGAAAAGATATATATATATATATATCATACAACAATATATTATATGATGATTTGAGTCATGATGATAATTGTATATAAATACATATTGTACACATTTTTGTTCTTGTAATTCTTTATGTCTTTTGTATTTTTAATTATTTATGAATTCAGAAGTTTTTGTTACTATGTGAAACATGCTTTATGTTATAAAAAAACGGATAAATATTATCATTATTTCTTTTAATCATGAAAACAAATCTATTATCTATATCGGTTATAATTTTAACTTTTATGTATTTCATAAAGATGAATTGTCATTTAAGCTATATGTATAATTGTTTGAATTGTGTTCTATTAATTGAATCATAAAACAAATGAGTTTTATAACTAACATATAACTTAGTATATCTTTCTATTGAGTTAACATTAGAAATACTAAAAAATGTCTTTTATTTCCATTAATACGTGTACAATTGTTAATTACAATCATAGTATATAAAAAATTCAAGATTTGTTGTTGTTGTTGATTATTTCAATCTCAGGTAAACATAAAGTTAAACAATTCAAGAATTCCTTTATATCTTTCCATCTTCATGAGCTATGTACTAAATAAATAGTTTAAATTATGCTTTTTTGAAGTATGAACATGTATAGAAGCGGTTTCATTGTTAAAAATTGTCTAAACCGCTATTTAAGTTTATCATATATATGCCTTTGTATCAATCCAAAAATATAATTGGATCTTTGTTACGAGATAGTTATTGCCACGGCTGAAAACGTCCGAATTATTAGATAGACAGTGATTGAAGAAGAGTGTAAAGCAAATTGAAATATTTATGGTTCTATCAAGTGATAATTAGAATTTGTTAAATGATTAATCAATTGTTAAAAATTCTATGATTTTTTTTGAAAAAGACATACGTTGACAAATTTACTGAAAATACCAAACATCTGAAACGATTTACTTTGAAAGTGAATGCTTAGGCAATTCAAGAATCATAAATGGTTTGTACTGTGAAAATAAGTGTCAATTAAATTCATATAAATATGTAATCAATGTTGTGTAATACGTCTGAACACTTAACGTTATACTATCTACCATTGTAAATAGTAACTAGTAACTACGTTATAGTGCCGTAGAAAACTGTTATAAAATGTTTAATGCATTTTAAATTATACCTGTTGATTTTTGATTTATCTACCCCAGGTGGAGCAAAAGTTTCGCACCAAGTTTCCCAAATCAATAGTGTACTGGGCTCTTCTTTACAGTTCTTCCCAAGAGTCATTTATTCTTTACATGTCTGTCTCCGGTTCCTGGTTTAATGTATTCTATGGTCTGTCTTCCCATCTTCTACCTTAAGGATTTCAAGTTAGAGCTCGCTTTGTGATGTAATTTGATGATTTCTGTAGTATATGTCCTATACACATCCAGTATTCCTTCCTAATTTTCTCCTAAATTGGAAGCTGGTTTATTTTGTCCCGCAGTAGGTTGTTGCTGATAGTGTATGATCAACGTATACAAAGTATCTTACGTAGATAGCTGTTTGCTATCAACTAACTTTTTGATGATTATAGTCATCCACCAAGCTTCAGCTTTGTACGACAGAACATTCTTGATGTTTATAATAAAAATTCTGACTTTGGTGTTGACTGACAGTTATTTTGAATTTTAGTTAATTTTCAACTGTAGAAACATTGTGCTGACAAAGCAAGGTAAACAATTTACTTCAAAACACGTATGACAATGATTCTTAAATGTTTTACAAGTTGTTGTATAAAAAACAAACATGAAAAGTTTTCTTTATGATTCATTCAGTTTATTCTACATTTCCATATTTAAGCCACAATTGAAATGTATGGATATGTATTATCTGACATATATCATTGATTATCATTATGAGCAATCTGACAAATTACTTATGACAGACAACCTTAAAAACAGCATATTATAGAATGTCTGAAATAGTTTAGCAAATTACTTGTTTATAAATAATCAAAATAATGATACAGAAACAATGCTTTTTTATTAATGACTGATTCTGATACTGCTCAACGTATTATGAACATATTATGCGTTAAATTAAATTATATTTTTGTCTGTCTATTGAATGAAGCATATTAATATATTTATGCTTGAGCAATCATGAACATAATATATTATATTACTTTATCAATAACCACTTTATCATATTTTAAATGTTTTAGGAAAATTATTACATTAAAGTTAATAAAACAATGTAAAGTGTCACATGTTACTAATAACCCAACATCAAGTTAACAATCTAAATTATTATACATTAAGCTAATAGTTAGTAAACCAAATACTTTCCGTAAAGACTGAAAGTTCGATACCTAGTAGACTTTAAGGGGCATGTAACAGGGGAATATCAAAATTTGAACAATATAACTATTGAATCCTTAATGATTTTTTTGAAGTTGTATGAATAAAATTAGTCTGTGGTGTAAAATATATCAAAACCAATTCATCATCTAGACTAATAACCCTATCCTAATATTTTGTATATCTTCATAACATGTTACTTAGTGATTCACAATTCAAATGGTCTTGAACATAATATAAACTTTCAAAATGATCAGGCATGTTTAAAAAGGAACCCATATAGTATTGATATCTTCGTAGTTTTTTGTTTAAAAAAAAATCAAATCTACATAAACACTGAAACTTAATAGTAACTGACCAATATAGAAATCATTATTCAATTTCGAATTTTCTTTTTAAAGGTAACATTTCCTTAATTCAGAAAATGTATTTATTTTACAGTAAAAATGAAATTTCGCGCGTGCATGCATGCACGCACACACGCACACACATAGACAGACACAAAATATAAGAATCACATTTAACAATCTACTTGTTTATTTACATTCAATAGGAATCTTTTTTTTTTAAATTTTGACCGGATATAATTTGATTCAACGTTTTTTTTTCTTGTTCATTAATTTTTTTCCCGAACTTTAACCAAATCAAGAAAAAATAAACTTAAAAAATCGTTTAAACAAATTAATTAAAAACAAAAAAGAAAAATTTGATTTTCTTTCTTTTTTCTTTTTTCTTTTTGTAAATCAACATTTTATGTAATTTTCCTTAGTAACCAAAATAAAAATTCTTTTTATTCTAACTAGAATTATTGAAGATTTATTATATTTATTTACGCTCAATTAATAAAAAAATCTCTCCTTCTTTTTCATAATATTTAGTTGTAATAATAAAAAATAAATAAATTGGCTAATAGAAAAATTTGAATTTTATTCATTTGAAAGAAAAAAAATAAAGAAAAAACATAAAAAAGAAGAAAAACATTCAGGAAACAAATAAATTAGAGAAAAATTTTTTTTTCATTTTTTTTCTTTTCTATTTTTTTCATTATTGTACAATAGTATTTAGATAAAAATGATTAATGTATTGAATAGACTTTCTATATTAATTTACATGATTATAATGAGTAAATTTATGAGTTAACCAAATTATATTAATGAATAAAATAGAATAAAAGATTAATTATTAAAATAGTTTGAAAATTTGAAAAAAAAATATGTAAGAAATTAATGATGAAATTAATGTATAATATATGCAATTCATTATGATAAATAAATTTGATTGTAAATGGAAATGAGAATTATTTTAAAGTAAATCGTTAATATGTTTGATTAGTGATGATAAAACAGGTCTGTTGTTAAATAGTAACTCATTGAAGACAATGGTGGATGTGTCGCTCAATTTCGTGGATTAATTGAAGTTAGACATTAACAACGTTGGGTGCCGGCTCAGTGGTCTAGTTGGTTAAGCGCCTGGCGCGAGACTGATAAGTCCTGGGAGAGGGATCGTGTATGCGCACTGCTGAGGAGTCCCACACTAGGACGAAACGGTCACCCAGCGCTTCCGAGTTCTCCATGGTGGTTTAGCTTCAATTCACTCGTAATTTCAACCAGTGAAATTTCTAAAATCTCCACAAAACCCCTTCTGATAATATTTTATAAATCAAGTCACTTAAAATGAATTAATAATTCATTTCAACTCAATATAATACTCAATGTTTGTCAATGGATCTGTTCACAACTTGATATAGATATACTAATTTTCTCATATGCTAAGTATTGTATTCAATACTGAATTCATTTCTATATGTGATTTCTTATTTTTTTTAAATATTTCTGTTACCTTGGATCTTGTTCTCGAGTTGATTTTTCGTTATTCATTAGTCATCCTTTTATATGAATACATTTAAATTGAAATCATTTGCAATTTATTCATCATTACCAATTATAAATAGCAGACTTGGTCTGGGTTTGTACTATGAGATAAGACGGCTTCCTTTTTGAAGTTTTTAAGTCATGTTTATAAGATCATCCTTTTACACATTTCCTTAATATAAACTGAAACATATGTAACTTTTCAAGAATATATTACTCCTCAATCTGTTTAAATACAATCTATATATAGCATAATTAACTAATGGCATATCTTTAATAACTTCAAAAAACTTTATTTATACTTTTTACATCATCGCTTCAATCATCAATTACATCTTAATTATTCATTTATGGTTTTTTAAATAACTGACTTACTTAATGACATACAGTTAATCTGAATTACTAATAATCGTAAACTGGTTTAATTAAGCCATGAGTTTCATCAATTATTTAGCATACAATTAAGAAATTTCTTTGAAAGTACTCGTTAAACATTTGCTACATTTACATGTTGAAATCTTTCTACCGCAATCAATGTTTCTACAACCTACACTATCACAGTGGTAAAGCACATAATTCAGTATCCATTGGACATCATAAAAAAGCTAATATTTATCTTTGTATACTTTAATAATAGTTTTGACAGTCTACCATTGTCCATTTTGGACAAAAAGTGCCTCCTCTAAGTAAAATCAATCGATTCATCATTAAACTAATAAACAAACCAAAAGGATACCTAAAAAATACCGATTAAAACTCTAAAATGCACAAATAAATATGGCAAGATAGTAAAAAGGAACTATCACTCTTT